AATCGGCCTAGTCGTGTTAATTCCGTACAGCTTAAAAGACAAAGTTGCCATTATTCTGAAGTGTTTCATTTTAATCGGTATATCATGGCTCCGCGACTTAATAAATTCGCAATTCTTCAACATTTTAAAATAATTAGTGATAGCGATTTAGCAGTTTGTAAAATTTGCAAACATTCGTTGAAGAGGGACAGAATATTTAATTTAAGAACGCATTTAAAAAATATGCACCAGTTAAATATAAATGAAAATGAAGATTCCAGCTCAAGTACTAGTGCAATAGTTGTGAAAAAATCATTCCGAAAACAAACAATTAAAATCGAAATGAGCAAAAAAGAGTTATTTCGCTGCTATATTGGCTTAGTAACTGAGGACAGTATTCCATTTAATGTCCTTAATTCGGAAAATATGAGAAAGATTATTGACCCTATTTGTCGTGGCTTAGAAGAAAAATTTAATAAAAAATTTGTATTGAACAGCAATAACTGTAAAAGTGTCTTGAAATTAGTTGCTGGCAATATTAAAGAACATATTAAAAAAGAGCTCAAGCAACGATTGATTTCCTTAAAAATTGATAGTGCCACAAGATTGTCTCGCAATATATTTGCTGTTAGTGCACAAATAATGAATAATCAAATTAATGTCATTTACATTTAAGGTTACCATCGAGCGTGCTTTTTCGTCACTAAAATTGATATTATCTGATCAACGGAATCGTCTTAATCATGAAACTTTAGAAAACATTCTCATGGTTAAACTAAATCCGCAATTTTTGGACCATGCTATTGATGATATGCCGTTGTTTCAACCTCCTGAATGGGACTTAAATTTAGAAGAATAATAACATCAAATTAAAATTTTTAATCATAATTGATAACAAAGTTTTTATGTTTTTTACCGGGCGTAGGTCGTTTATTAAACACATTAATTTATAAAAACGTTTTTTAAATAAAATAAAAAATTTCACTTTTTAAACTGTTTTAAATATTAAGTTATATTTTAATTTTAATACAAAATTATTTATATATATTATATATATATATATATTTATTTATATATGAATTAATAGTTAATAATTAATATATATATATATATATCTATCTATATATATATATATATATCATATATATCATAAATTTAATAATTAAAATAAACATAAGTTTAGGCATAATCTAATTACAAATAAAATTATATTAATTGCATACAAATTGTACGCACACATCATAATTGACAAAGAAATAATGCGTACACATTCCCTTAAAACAAAAACAAAAAAAGAAATCCATACACATTTGCTAATAGCAAAACACAAGCAACTAACGCATAAGCAAGCAAGTTGCATATATTCCAAATGCATAATAGTCAAAAATGTAAAATTGACTATTAGCAAGCAATCAAAATGAAACCAGTTTACGTTTTTTGCTGTTGCTAATGCATATTTTTATTTCATTTTCATATGCAATGCGTTAGCAATTATGCAAGCAATGCAATTAGCAACAGCAATTCAAACCCTGGTTGTTGCTTTGTTTCAAATGTTTTGGTTTCAGGTAATAGTTTAGTCGTAAATTCTGGATGTATACGAGTAAAATGATAAATTTAATAAAAAAATATTCAGTTCATTTATATATAATATTAATTCATGCATTTTCAAATAATTAAAGAGATAATTTATTAATTTTTAAATTTATTTATTCATATATATATATATATACTGTACATATAACACCAATTAAGCAAAGTATTTTAAGAAATAAAAATATTTCTCAGTAAAGCTTATTACTAACTTTCGTTCCCCATTTAATATTGACACAAAATTGCATATAAATTTTTATTTGATTTAAAATTATAAAGTTTTTCTGGATTTTTTATTTCTTAAAATTACTTTTGCTTAATTGGTGTTATATGTACAGTTATATATATTATTATATATGTAAATAAATTTAAAATTAATAAATTTATCTCTTTAATTATTTGAAATGCTATGAACTTAATATTATATATAAATGAACTGAATATTTTTTTATTAAATTTATCGATTTTACTCGTATACATCACAAATTTACGACTAAAACTATTACCTGAAACCCAAATTTGAAACAAAGCAAACAAACCAGGGTTTGAATTGCTGTTGCTAATTGCATTGCTTGCATAATTGCTAACGCATTGCATATGAAAATGAAATAAAAATATGCATTAGCAACAGCAAAAAACGAAAACTGGTTTCATTTTGATTGCTTGCTAATAGTCAATTTTACATTTTTGACTATTATGCATTTGGAATATATGCAACTTGCTTGCTTATGCGTTAGTTGCTTGTGTTTTGCTATTAGCAAATGTGTATGGATTTCTTTTTTTGTTTTTGTTTTAAGGGAATGTGTACGCATTATTTCTTTGTCAATTATGATGTGTGCGTACAATTTGTATGCAATTAATATAATTTTATTTGTAATTAGATTATGCCTAAACTTATGTTTATTTTAATTATTAAATTTATGATATATATGATATATATATATATATATAGATAGATATATATATATATATATTAATTATTAACTATTAATTCATATATAAATAAATATATATATATATATAATATATATAAATAATTTTGTATTAAAATTAAAATATAACTTAATATTTAAAACAGTTTAAAAAGTGAAATTTTTTATTTTATTTAAAAAACGTTTTTATAAATTAATGTGTTTAATAAACGACCTACGCCCGGTAAAAAACATAAAAACTTTGTTATCAATTATGATTAAAAATTTTAATTTGATGTTATTATTCTTCTAAATTTAAGTCCCATTCAGGAGGTTGAAACAACGGCATATCATCAATAGCATGGTCCAAAAATTGAGGATTTAGTTTAACCATGAGAATGTTTTCTAAAGTTTCATGATTAAGACGATTCCGTTGATCAGATAATATCAATTTTAGTGACGAAAAAGCACGCTCGATGGTAACCTTAAATGTAAATGACATTAATTTGATTATTCATATTATGCTAAACGAATATTTTACCTGAGTTGGTGGAATTGCAAAACATATATTCGCAAGCGCATGTAATTCTGGATCAGCAAACTGTCTTTCCTTCCAAAAGTCCAATACATTTATATCAACACGTTGAAAAGGTAACTTCAAAATTTCAATTTTGGTGTAGACGTCCATGTTGTTATTACTTTGAGCTTCGAAGTGGTTAGAAAGATAATCATTAAGGTACCTATCCTCATATTCGAGAGTATCTTCCATTTGTGTGCAATTTGTGGCTGAATTCTTCTTATCAATTAGGAAACCTGAGTTCAGTGCTGTCAGTCTATTATATAGTCGTTTTAAAAACAGAACAGCTTCGTTTTTTTGCTCTACAGTCAATGTATGGCTAAAGCGTGGGTCCAAATACAAACATGCGTTTAAGCTTTTGTTTGATTGTTTTCGGAATGATTTTTTCACAACTATTGCACTAGTACTTGAGCTGGAATCTTCATTTTCATTTATATTTAACTGGTGCATATTTTTTAAATGCGTTCTTAAATTAAATATTCTGTCCCTCTTCAACGAATGTTTGCAAATTTTACAAACTGCTAAATCGCTATCACTAATTATTTTAAAATATTGAA